CCTTAATATCTACATATCTACCCTGAACAAGGGTCTTGGTTTTACTTTTCTCATTTTTTAGGGATACTGAGGTTCAGGGGCATTAAGTGATTTCCTAACAAAGTGATGGAGACTTGAAGTAAGATCTTCCAAGTGCAAGTTCAGAGTTCTTTGTAATGCACAAATCTCAAGGGAAGGTAGTTGTTCTCCAAATAAGGCAGTCTTTTCTTCCAGGGCATGCAATTTATTTCTGAAGCATATCGATATACAGGGGAGAAAAATATTTATCAATTTTAATGCAGAATCTTATATATACATTCAATTAAATGTTTTTTCAGATTAAAATATCCTCATCAGAATTATAGTTTAATACAGAAAATTCAGTAACATTTTCTACAAGAGCAGCACAGAGCATTGAACAAGTCCCTGGATAGATCGTTCATCTTTTTTAATACTTTTTTTTTTTAAGGAGTTTCCTCAGTTTTCCCACCCACTACACTTGGAGAATGTTTGCATCAAGTTTTCTTTTTTTTTTTTTTTTCCAAGCTTCCCTTCTGAACAGAGAGCAACTGCTTAACAAATGGCAGGTTTATGTAAGAGGAAATCTCCATGGTTTAACGTGCTTTTGTTTCCTGTCAGTATGTACCTTCTGTTTTTGTTCATGCATAATCATCTTGTAACCTGCACAGAAAGGGAAAGAAACTGAGGCTTGGGGAAATGAAGCAATTGCTTACATATTGATTTTCCAATTCTTGGCCTAAAGAATTTTTCGTGAGACAGGAGACCCCAGTAGCTGGGGCTGCGTATGCAGAAGACCAGATATAAAAATAATACCTCCCAGTCCCCTGTAAAATCAGTACATTGTCAAAAGAACCTCATCATCACTTGAATGAGGCCTTCTCTCTAGAGAGAACCTGTTTCATGTCACTATAGTCCTTTTGAACATAACAAAATTATTGTATTTCCATAGCGAGCACACAATTATTTGTGTCTTCATTAAACTGAGAGTTTTGACAGGGTAGCGACTGAATCCATTCATCAAATTTCTGCTACATGTTTTGGATTTTCTGCAAATGTGGTTGGGTGAACGGATGAACCATAAACTCTAGCCTGGCATTTCCAAATCAGAATGGTATGAATTCCAAAGTCCTGGATTCAGATGATTCAGGTCAAGCTCACAAAAGGATGGCATAGATTAGGAGTACTTTCTACTCTTTAAAGAGAGGAAAAGTTGGGCTAGGGCAGTAGCTCAGTGATAGAGCACTTGCCTAGCATGTGTGAGGTATTGGGTTTGATCCTCAGTACCACATAAAAAAGAGAAGAAAAGCTAATTCTCTAAACTATATTAGCCAAGGATTTCCTTTCAATGGTCTTCATCTTAGAAGAAAGAATACATTCCTCTCTACCTGCCAGAGAAGCTTGTTTGTGAAATCAATGATCATACTTTAAGCTTCTACCAGATGAAAAGTGTTGTACTGGACACTAGAAAAATACGAAAGTGAAATAAACTCAATTATTTAAGAAGACACTAAGATCTAGCTAAGAGATGAACATGTGGAGAGCAAATACCACTTTAAGAGAAAACAGAATCAGCAGTATATTGGTGGAAAATGTGAAAGGTAGAGAGGGATGGGAGGGGATGGATGTCGCTTGTGCACATGAAAGTTGAAATTTTGAACCAACCAAAGCTATGGCAATGGGTTAGGGAAAAAAGCAGCTGTTTCTAAAAGCATCAACAGGATTTGGACAATGACTGGGTTTGAAAATTGTAAAACAGATCAGTTGAAAATGGTTTCAACATAAGTAACCAGAGGAGACAGTTCAGTGATTTCCTTAGAATTTACTAAATTCTACATAGGAATTTTTTTTCTGAGAGATTTTTGCAGAGAATTTCATATCTGGAATGTTTACAAGTCATGTAGGTGCTGATTTTGCTAGTTAGAAATCCTAAATTCATGAGAGTGGACTGAATTTAGTGATTCATTTCCAGAGAATCTGAAGAATTGTGTGGCCAGGGTAGATGGTCTCACAGCACAAAAACCTGGTGCAGAATGCCTTCAAGAGTGTTGATATCACCTGTGACACAAGACTGCGTGTGATGAGTAGGACCCTGCCCCTACTGTTCTCCCACCAAGGCCCATGACTAGACACTATTCATGAGAGAACGACAAACCCAAGCTGAGAGATGTTCTGTGAAAGTACCTGAGCATAACTTCTCAAAATTCTCGGGGTCATAAAAGACATGTGAAGATGTAGGAACTATCTCAGAGCACAGGAGATGTGATGACTAAAGGGAATATGGAGTCCTTAATGGGATTCTGAACAGGAAAAGGATATCAAAGGAAAAATGGTGAAAAATAGAGCTTAGTAGCAATGCACTAATGTTGGTTTCTTAGATTGATGTAATTTTCCTATGTTTTGAAGAGAGGGAATAAGTGATACAATAATAATGTTAACAATAGCTCATGACATTTTTTTTTTCTTTTTTGGTACCAGGGATTGAACCTGAGGGAATTCAACCATGGAGCCATATCCTCAGCCCTTTTTATATTTTATTTAGAGACAGGGTCTTGCTGAATTGCTTAGGATCTTGCCAAATTGCTGAGCCTGGCCTTGAACTCGGGATCCTCCTGCCTCAGCCTTCAGAGCCACTTGGGACTACAGGCATGTGCCATTATGCCCTGCAGCACATGACATTTCTAAAGCATTTTCACCTGTGCTGGCTCACTCTGAGACAATGTTATGAGGTTGATAGGACAGGGATAGTCAATGTTCATTTTGTAAATGAAGAAGCAGAGGCTCAGAACTGGACACACCCAAGATCAAAACTGTCACTGCCTGGAGTTTCAACCAAGGTTTTAGGAGACAGATACTGTGTTATTTTTACTTTTGTCAAGTATTAAGAAGACAGGTCATTGAAGATGTGTGTGTATGTATAGGGAATCACACAAGAAACACTTGGGGGAAGGTAAAGACTTTGAGATGGCAATAAGATTTCTACTGAAACGAAATCTCTATTAAGGACTGAATTCTTCAGGATAAGTAATGAGATATCCTTCTGTTTTTGTTTTCTTTTTTAATCTCCCAGATTGTCATTTGTTTCTCTTCTGTCTCCCTATCTTTATGTATCAGTGATATTTTATCAATAAAATAACATAATTATCACAGTTTTTGAGTTGGCAAAATTATTACACTTTGGATCCCCTGAATCACATTCCCTATTATTTTGCTTCTTCTGGTCACATTGCCATGTATTGTTAAAACTGACTCAGGTCAGATGAATAAAAATTTTTCCAATGGTTCTCTTCAGAAATTTGATGTGATCTTTTTCACTACTTATTTTTCTTTGTCCTGATTATCATGTCTGCACCAATAGCCTCTTGTAGGGAGAACACAGTCATAACATTGTTTGCTTATGATTTAGAAACAGCAGTAATTGCAAATACAATATCTGTACTTCTACAACCATCCCCTCCCCCCCTTCTCCAGTTCATTCATTTTTCAGCAGCAAAAGTGAGAAAGTAAAAGCTGTAAAGAGTTCCATCTTGCTTTCAAACAAAAATGTGTTTTTAAAGGGGAAATCATTATACGGCCCTCACAGATCAACATTTCAAAGAAGGACATCATGCAGGCTCTTATATACACTTACATAGGAAAAAATGGATGTTTAAAAGCAGGCAGATGTGTGTATGTCCTAAAACGCGGACTTTCTAGTTGATTCTGGAGCCCAAGGAGCTATCCCTATGCTTTGCTGCCACCTTGGCTAACTGGAAGGATTTACAACGGAATTCTCCACTGTAAGGGCTGGAAGCGGCTCGCACTGCCTCACCGGGCTGGCAGAGCTCAGAGAGGCATTTGAAGTGGTTATTACTATTTCCCCTGGCTTGGGTATGTTGCAGAGAGAAATTGGAACATCTATCCAGTGGAAAAGCACTCTTTCACTTTTGAAATAACTCAGTTTCAGCACGATCCACGATTACTCTCTGAAGACTTTTTAAAAGGCATCTTCCTTAGTCCAGAACGGAAACTCAAAAGGAGGTGATGTCCAAATGCGGATCTGAGGTTGCGCTCCCTGAGGTCCTGGCTCATTTGGGTGTGACGGTGACCGGAGCAGCGCTGTGCCCAACATTTTTTTCTTGTCTGTTCGCATTCTGTCTTCAAGAGAAGACTGGCCTCCAACTCCGCTGAATTTCTTGAGCTGAGAACACTTAGTCAAAGCTGTTTATTGAATGCAAGGCAGAGGTATATTCTCTGTTTCACCTCTTCCAAAGCAGCTGGGAAAATATTGCGCTCAAAATCTTGGCGCTTAACACTGACCTGCTCTTTCAGTGCTGGGACCTTGATAATTTTTTTTTTTTTGCATCGTCATTCTTGTTTTTATTTCCCCCATTTGTTTCTTTCTAAGGCTAACTTCTGTCTCTGTCTATTTCTTCCCTTCTCCCCCTTTCTCTTTCTCTCTAATCTCCTTCCTCCCTTCATTCTCATATCCCCATTAACAAATCAAACTCCTTCATCGCGTCCTCACAATCTTCTGGTGTCTTAATCCTCGTTATTTGAGTATGTCTTCATTATTGAGTATTTGTATTTGTCTTACTCCGGCTCTAGATGGGTGGGAGGCAGCATTCCTTGAGGGTTCATTTAAATTTGGTCTGAGTGTCTCGCACACGCAATACAGTTAGGAGCTAGAGTTAGAATCAGCGACGAGTTCCAAATCTTCAAAGCTCAGCTAGTGAAGGAAATAATACGAGGGGCGGGGAACAGAAGTAGAGGAATAAAACCCAACTTTGCTGGCAACTTCCATAAATCCGGTAACTGGAGGCAAAAAATAGATTCCGAGGGCTGGGTCTGGTCGGGATGAAATGCTAGGGCTCCTTCCCATCCCTGAGTCTGGCGCTGGAAGCCCGTCACTGGCGTCTTGCCACTCGAGTGCCCCTAGACAGCAACACACCCACTGGAAACGCACGTGAACAAAGCTCTCGCCCTGGGAGCCGCCGCCTGCGGTTTCCTAGTCCATTCCAGCTTCTCCCGGGAGTGCAGGGCGCACACAGGGTTAAGTTAGTCCCCTCCCTGGTAGGAGGCAGAGCTGGGGGAGGGGAAAAGAAGCATACAGTCTCAGGCTGGGTATCTAGTAGTTAGTTGTACGTTCAAAACCTGTCGCCTTCACTTGTGAGTTTGGCATCATCCATTGTCATCGCGGAGGAACTAGCGCTCGGAGATAACAACCGTGCTCGCAACCTTCGCGCCGAGGCGCTGAGCTTCCCCCGCTGGGGGTGCGCTTCTGGTCCTTCCACCCGGGAGTTTAGCGGCGGGGAGGTGGCACCTCCTCGCCCGCGACAGTGTCCACCGAGCCCCAGGACCAGGGTGGCAGTTCTCAACAATGGGCAGAAGGGACCTCGGCGGCGACCCCTAAAACAATACCATGCCCCGGGAGCCCCGCTGCTGCCGCGCCAGCTTCTTCCCTTTCCACCTCCCCGACCCTGTCGGATTCGGATGAGCCCACTGGGAGGAGACTCGGCCGCCAGGTAAAGAGACTGCGGTGCCAGGTGAAGTTTCTAATAGCCGCCCTAGCAGCCGCGAAGCGGGCATCACGCTCTTTGGGGGAAGATATATTTATTTTTTAACTGGGGAGGGAGTCACCCTGATGGGATATTCTAGACTTTTTTCTTTACCAGGAGAGAAATTAGGCTCCCGACTTTAGGGACGTCTATCTGCAGGTCCAATCCACCTTCTTTAAGGAGTTTTGTAATGGCTCAGGGTCAAAAAGCAAAAATGATTGCCTGCTGGATGTATAGGTCTTAAATGAGGATTTCCAGACCCTTAAGCCTGCTGGAGTACAGCCTCCCATTTCGTCAGAAAGAATCTCTTAACTTCCACGATTAACAACCTCCTTTTCCATCTACTTTTAATGCTACCAGCGTTATTATCAAGTGGTTATATCTAAAGCCACCAGCCCGCTCCATTCCCTCAATCCAAGATCGTTTAGCCGCTAAGACGCAGCGGGTACTAATTGGTTTTCTTTTCATTTGGGGAGAGGGGATGCTTTTCCCCAAACCGAGTCTATCCCGAGCCCTTTTGGTTCTCTGGGGCTGGCGGTCACTCAGCTGGGGCCACTGCGCCTTCCAGAAGCGAAGGAAAGGGTGGCGAAGACGCGAGGCACAAGAATAGCTGAACTGTGATCGCGTTCTGGCGCCGCTGGCGTTGGACGCAGAGATGGGGCGGGTAACGCCCCCAGGCGCTGAATGCAGGGACAAGAAGACCGATAGAGTGGCTGAAGCAAGGCCTAGCAAGCTGCCACCGGGTCGCTGCTAGAGCCCCAACCTCCTGGAAAGATCCTTCCGCCGCGCTGACCAGTCCAGTGCTCTCTCCAGCTCTTTCAGAGTCGGCATGGTCACTTCTCTTTCTTTGATAATTAGGCCCAAGATCAAGGTGCCGAGTTGAGACCCAGGCACTAAAGAGGATAAGGGAGCCCTCTGGGGAACAGGGTGACTGGAGCGGGTTGAATCCACACTTGACTCCTGGAAAACTCCTGGAGCATGTGAAACAGTTGCCGGTGGAGACTGAAGCCACCGCTGCTGTGGTCTCTGGCGCTTTGCTCCAGGAACCTCCCAGCAAGATGGCACTTACTGTTTCTCTGTGATTAGCTCCACCATCCTCTCCCCCTTCCTTCCCTGGATAATTATTAGTTACACTCTGGGAGTTTGGGTAGAGGACGAGCTATGCATATCTAAGTTCAAGCGTTTACTAGTCACCTTTGCATGATACAACAGAACAGCGACAGGCGCTCAAGCATTCGAGTAGTGTGTATGAGTGTGTGTGCACGTGTGAGCGCGTGTGTCAACGTGTGCCTGGGTGGGTCCATGCGTGGCTTAGGAGACAAATCTGGCGTTTCTCCAAGTCGTCTTAACCTTACTTAGGCTTTCAAACACATAAAGGCAGTAGACACAACAGGGATGCGAAGGAAATAAAAACAATCGGAGAAGGGGTGCCAAGTGACTCAGGCTTTGAACTGAAGACAGGGAGTGCGGTCTCGCCTGGGCGCGTCCGGAAATCATCTCCAGCGGGTTACAGGCACCGCCCCCGTCTTACTCCATAGCCCACGGAACTAAGAGGATCCCTAGAGTGTTGGTCCGGGGTTAAACTTGCGGATTGCATCTCCCTTGGCCTCACTGACAGCGCGTCTAGGCGCAGCCCAGCGCTTGGCGCGGGCTCGTTCTCCCTCTTCTGTTCAGATTCAGCCTCTCTCCGGACTTGTTAAAACATGACAGCAACTTACTGGAGGCAGGAAGAGCAGCAATCAGACGAAGAGCAAACCAGATCCTGTCCCCCGTTCCGCACCTCGCAAAGAAAAAGACATACCCCTCGGTTTTCTCAGATTATTCTTTACTTACTCTTTGCAAAGAGATTGAGAATTGGAAATGCTGTTTATATACAAATTAGGTTTCTTTTGCTGTCCAGTCTGTCTCCACAGTCTTCAAGGCTGAATTTTAGCTGTCCACTGAAATCTGTGGGGGAATTGACCCACCCCCACCCCACCAGCTGCAGCCAGGGTAATACGAGAAAGTAGAGGTGTTTAAAATGGTCATATCAAACTCTAGTTTATTCCCCAATTAAAGTTTAAAAAGGTCCGGAATGAAGGAACCTGTAATGGGGTGGAGATGGGGGTGGGGCAAATCATCAAGGTTGCCTGCATTTGAAATAACGCCATTTTGGTTCAGAGGCTTGCTATATTTTTACCCTCAAATCTCAGGTTTCGATCCTTTCTCGGAATCAAAGTAATAGATCCTCTCTCCTGGAAGTACAGCATTAGGCGACTTGGGGGAAATCGCTTTTCAGGGTTCGGACGTTGGAAGTATTTCTAAAAACTGTGGGTAGGGAGGGCATGTGCATCGTAGAAAATCCAGAGGCAGCGTGCAGGGTCAAGGTGGTATCCGCGGGGTTAGCCCCAATGCTCTGGAACTCTCTCCAGGAAGGAGAGGGTTAAAATTCGAGTCAGACTTTGCCTCTTGGAAAGCTTTGGGTAGCAGCCGCTCCTCCCCAGCATTCTTTAAACCAGAAAAGTGGGAGGGACTCCGCGAGGGAGGAAGAGAAAGGGAGGGAGAGAAAGAGGGCTCTAGGAGGGGAGAGCGCGCCAGAGCGCGAGGGACCCAAGGAGAGGAGGAGCGCGGGAGCCGCGGAGGCGATCCCGCGAATTCATTACTGTAAACATCTCCCGGGGGTGTCAGCAGGGGTGGGGGTGGAGGCCTCAGCGCCTACATTAGCCAGACCGCCTCAGATTGAGGCAGCAGTTTGGTCAGAGCAGCCTCCACATCCGCGCTGGGCGGGCGCAGCACTTGGAGCGAGCCCCGCGCCCGCCCCCGCGCAGATCCGCACGCAGTTCGGCGGGGTCCGCACACACGCGTCGGAGGAGCGCCCGCCTAGCTCTTGCCGACCCCCGGGGTTCTTGGTCTCCCAGGAGTCCGGGTGCCTCCTGGCCGTTTTCCACCTCTTTCACCGCCCGCCCTACTTTTTTCGGGGTTCCTTGGCTTAGCCGAGGCAGTGAGAAGGAAGGCAGAGGAGGAGAGGAGGCGGGAGCCAGGGCGGCCGAGCCGAGAGAAAGTGGCATGCCCGAGCCCTGGAGGCGGAGGTGGCGGAGGACGGGGGAAGACGATGCCGCGCATCCGTAGGGGAAGTAGGCGAGAGCGAGCGAGGCGAGTGGGGCGCCCGGGCGCCTACAGGCTGCGGGGAGGCGCGCATCGCTCTGAGGCTCCGGCCTCCGCTCCCCCGTGCCCCGACGCTGCAGGCGACCGGGCTCGGCTCCAGCAGCCTCCGCCGTCGCCGCCGCCGCCACCCGGAGGACTAAGCAAAAGTTTGGATCTTGGGGAGGGCGCAGCGCTGAGCGGGATTACCACCAGGGTTGGAAGGAGACCTCGAGAACCTTCGCAGGTAAAGCACTTCCCCAGCCTTCTCTTTCTGTTCCCCTCTGCTTTCTCTCAGACCCTTTCCTAGCGCTCGCCAGGTTTGGGTCAAAGTGAGAGGGAATGAAGTTCAAGATTCCGGGGATGGGTACCTAGCGCTAGGATCTTATATGTGCCCGATGGGCAGCTGTGCCCGGCGCAAATGCCCCTGGGAGTGAATGATAACCCTCAGCCCCAGGTGGTGCCTCATCTTGTATGGCTCTTTGGAAATCTGGAAAGTGAATCCAGGGGCTTTTAGTATTCCTCAATCCAGGGAAATGATTGATGGATTTCACTTACCCCCGCCCGCTCAAACCTCTTACCCCTATTTAGCATCTTTAAAAAAAAGAAAGAAAGAAAGAAATTCAAGCCCACTCAAATTTGCCTGCTTGGTTTTGCTTGCTCAGAACAACAAATATGGGGAGGTGTGTGCAAATTGACTGCAAAGAGGCAAAATTCTTTCCCTTTTGACATCCCTGGAGTCCTCCCCTCTTCCATTCACCTTCTGGCTTCATATAGTAGGAACTTTAGAACTCACATTTTCATTGAGGGGGCTAAGATGAAACGGGTTAGCTTTTGGAAATGTGAATTTTCAGTAAGTGTGTGTGTGTGTGTGTGTGTCTGTCTGTCTGTCTGTCTCTCTGTCTGTCTTAGAGGGAGAGGGTTCCTGGTTGCAGAGGGGCCAGTTTCCCCCCCTCCCCTCTTAATGGCCTGATGCACGATGGTGCCAGGGAATTGAGTGGCCGCGTGGGTGCACTGAGGCTGTGGGCCCAAGAGAAGGTAGTCATGTCTCTGGAACAGTGGCTGGCCTTACTTAAGCTGAGAAAATAGCTGCCATTCATTCTCAGAGCCAAAAGATTCCAGCTCCAACTTCTCAATGCCTACTTCAAACCCCCCATAGAGTTTTGAGTTGGAAAGCACCTCAACGTTTGCTGCTGCTATCCTCTTTATTATTATGATCATTATTAATTCACCTGGAAACTCATCATGCTTTCTCCTTTGAATGGAAAACAGTCTCTAAGGGCTTTTGATTAATTTTAATGGAGGGAATCTCATGTAAAGCTTACTGTAAGCTAATCAAGTAAGTGCAAGGCACAAATCCGTGTAAATGCAGGAGTGCAAGGTGCTGATTAGATTTCTTTACTTGCTGCATTTGCTATGCAAAGCCTCTTCTAAATGGGAGCTATTGCTCCCCATTCAGCTGGGAGGCTCTTTAATCACACAGGGTTTCAGGGAGCTTTGGAGCATGTCCACTGCTTACAGGCTTATTGCTAAATTTATTATGTCTAACTTCCCCGAGCCAAAAGCTAATATGAAGGCTAGCTCCCATATAATGACTTAGATTGTCTATAGACTTAACTGGTATGACCTTATTAAATCTCTAGTGAAAGGATCCCCCAAACATTTGAGGTAAATAGAATGCAGGTTGGCATCTGTCCAGGGATATATTTAGTTGTTGTATGGATGTAAAAATTTAGGTCAGTGTCTGAAATGTTAGAACTGGATTATTATTATTATTTCAATCTCTAAGCAACATGTGCCAGATAGGGATAATCGGCAGGTTACCATATTGCAAGAGAATCAATGTTTGGATGATAAATATACATGCC